TAACTAAATTAAAAAAAATAACAAAAAATAAAAAAAGTAGAAAAAATAATAGAATGCATTACATCCGTGAGTGAGACAGTAAAACTGTCCTTGAAGTTAGCATTCCAGCCCCCAATATGACGTTTGGACATAAGTAACAAGATGTTAAGGTATTACTCCTAACCAATACTACATATGTATAATTCCCATCTTCTACCCTTCCATCCTACTATCTAGATCTTCAACGATTCTAAAAAGATCTACACAGTAGCAGGTCTTATATGGAGAAGGTAATATAGCTACTACTACATTAATCTACCAATACAAGATGTGAAATGTCCAATAAATAATTCAAATTATTTCTCCTACAATAAATTTTAGAAACTATTATTATTTTCCATATTATAATATTATTAAAATCACTATTTTCAAATTTGTATAAATACATTTTATATTTATTATAAAATAATTTAAAATATTTAATGAAAGTTTTCTCCTCGAACCCATTAAAAATCAGTTTATTTACTAATACATTAACATTAGATATTAAGAACGGTACATTACTACACATTCTACAATACCTAAGAAGCTGTAAGCATATAATACTTTGTATGGCATTTGTTGGTACATTACTGTTTGGAGAAGGAAGTCCAAAAATTGAAGCATAAAATTATTACATAGCCACCTGGCCATGCCGGGCGTATTAAATGGAAAATATATATTTAAATTGTAAATAGCTGTTTAATAGTATAGAGAAGAATAAGTTAATAAATAAGTTTAAATTTGAAATATAAAATGAAAAAAAATGAAGCTAAATTGTTAAAATTTAATTAGTTCTTTTTATTGAATATAAAAGTTTAAATAAAAATGAGCAACTTAATATTTAATTAAAGTTGTGCAAGTTGTAGTCTACTATTTAAAGCAAAGTGTGTGCCCGGGAATAAATACACTGTAGTAGATCTATCATTTCATATGTGTTCCTTATATGTTTCCACATTTCTTGATCAATCAGCATCAAACTGGACATAGTGATACAGGATGACATGAGGAAGGCCATGAAGGAGATGGAATATTGGATGCCCCTCTAATTTCGGAAAACTACCATATCAGCACAACTTGACACAGTAATACAGGATGGTCATTAGGGGTGGTTGACCCCCCATCTAATTTTATATTGACAGAATTCTTGAAAACAGTATGTATTTCTTTTCCGTATTGGTACGTTTATGTATTTATTTAATGTTTATTATGTTAAGTAAAAAAAATAGAAGCATAATTTTCTATTCTTTCTTATAAACGAATTTTTATTTCACCCGCCCAACGGACGGGTTCTCCAGCTAGTAGATACATAAAGTATTTTATAAAATTAAATCAGATATTTAATGAAAAAAATCTTTTTAAAGTGCAGGTAAATAACTACTATAATATGGTATTATAAATATTAGTATAATATTTTACAATTTTATTATGCTAAACAAAATATTTTTAATTATGATGTTTTATGTTTACTTTAATTGTAATCTCTTGTTCCATACATGGTTTAATAATTGGATTGTATAATATATGACGAATTTAATTTATACTTCAGCACACTTAAGTTTTTTAAAATATATTTATATCTAAATCAAAATCGCAAGATTATATATATGTTATTGGTGTAGGAGGCTCTTTGAACTTAATACACCAGCCCTCGTTGAGAAGTAGCGTAGAGAATAAATTTTCATTCCGTCGTAATTATGTATACTTATGTTACAAGACGGGTTTAGCTAAAAATACCCAAGCCACTTTTTATAAAACTCAATACATTTGGTATAGACCATACTTAAACTTTCAATATCCAGAATATACTTGAGTTCATCATGTTTAGCTTCCATTTGTTAGTTTCTTAACCCATCAGGCTTGTTTATTGTTAAGCGCAAAACTTTACAATGGGCTGTTTGTGCTTTGCCAACTCTGTGTAGAGAAACTCGATTTCAGCTTAATAAGCCCTCAGAATTGTCACTGAGCCACCGACGGGGAGGGCGGGGATTATGCAACAGACTAAGCTAACTTTTTAAAATCTGAAAACATAAAGCGTTCCATTTATTTACCAATAACAAATAATGATATAGAAAATGTTACGATGATAATCCTTAGTTACGTGAGTTTTATGAAATTCGTGATTTATAAGCTGAGTGTGTTTAGTAATTTTAAAAAGGGAAAAGTAATTCAATAAGTATTTCTATAGAACAGTAATCGTATAAAATAAAATATTCACGAAGCTAATGATACTTATTAAAGCACTTCTTAATTAAATAATTTGAATTCTTTCAGTAGCATTTATGTTTTTAAGCAAAGTAATTTTAATTGATTTTCTTGACATACACTGAAATAGGCATTGCTGTATATGTGTGGTTTATTCTGTTTTGTTATAATCCGCTTAGTGCCTGTGCAAAAAAGAAAAAAAACATTGTTTCCAATGTTTATTATTTTGAGTATTACCTCTTGAGCTTCGTAAATAATTTATCAAATAATTTTGTAACTTTTTCAATGTACCCAAGAAAACCGGAGATAACAACATGATTATTTAATATTCATAGCCGTAATTGTTTTCTAAGCCTTTTAAGTTTATTGGGAGGAAAAAAAGAAAATCCTGTTCTCATAATTCAAAAAGTCAATCACTGAACAAGGTTTAAGCATTAAATGCTCATCACACAGTTCAAATCTCTAGAGAAATAAAAAAAAACATTAGTTTGAAGTTTTTAGTGTACAATGTATTTTTAATTTTTCCTTTTCCCATTAAGAGAATTACGGAATAAGCCGATACGTACTTAGGCTTTAGAAATTCGTAAGCTTGTGGACAAAGGAAAAAGAGGAGTTTATTTTTACAGCTTAATCATAGACATATCTTTATGAACGTTCGATCAACTACCCCCTCTACCCATTTTTTTCTTTCTTCATCTAGCTTAAGTTTCAACAACTCCAGAAGCTGGCGAATATTTTAAATAGCGTTTTCTAATATTTAAGTCCTCTCACCTTCTCATCTGCTCACCATAGTCCATTTATCACAAAGCGCCATGTATGTTTGCATAATTCAAAATATCTGGAAAATCTTGTTTAAATCCATTCTAACGGAATTGTCCTTGAATAAATCAGAACACACACAGACTTTGAAATACACCCCTTTTTAATGGTGTTAAGTTTTATTCAGAATTGATGATTACATACACGTCATATTTACAACTAATCTATCACCATACATGTTGTATATAGAATAATATAACCAGGGATGATTCATTCAAGGTAAACTTTAGTAGAAGATGAAAGAGTTCATTCATTGCGTTATTCATGTTTATTCAAAATTACTGATACATTTTTGTGGTTTCATTTCAAACTAAAATTGTTACATCACTATATGAATTACGCACGGGATTTGATTACAGGCCGAACAATACTTTTTTTATTTATGATTATGACACGAGTTTTCATCTATCAATTTAACAATGTTCCATGTTTTTGTATTTTCAGGACTTCAGAAACCTAATATCTCTGTCTATGTATTCATATGTGACTTATCCAAATCGACTTAACACAAACTTGGTTACTTCAACCACATCTCACTCTCTTTCTAAACTAGTAAATCTATTAGCAACTATTTCAACAGCAACAACAACAAAACTCAAAGCTTAAGAATATCTCTGATTATCTATTCCCCAAAATTTTTTAAAGTGATTGCGTGTGTACAGAGACTCATGATGCAAAACAGCAGTAGTACATTTATTACCCTCCTGGTTTCTGATGAATTCCTGGTGGTGGCTGAAAAGAAAAATACAAACTTCGATTTTAGAATATCAAAAATAACGTTTTTGTACATACCCAAAATTGAAACTATGAACCTAATAAATTTCGTAGAAAGACGAAATAAGAGTCTAATATATATATCATAATTAAAATGTTCAACGCTAAACCGCGATTCGATTAGTAAACTGCCGTTTTTTTCATTTTTATCAAAGCCTTTTTGTTACTGGAAAAAAGTTTGTATAGTTACACTTTTAATATGCGAGGATAAGTTCTGTAGGTTGGGATCTGGTTTAAATGACGCTCATACTTTCCAAAATACACCTCATTCCCAGCTCTAGTCACATTGTTAAACGTTATACAGTCAGCTCTAATCACATTGTTAAAACTTACACGGTCAGCATTAGACACATTGTTGAAAATTACACGGTCAGCATTAGACACATTGTTAAAACTTACACGGTCAGCATTAGACACATTGTTAAAAATTACGCGGTCAGCTTTAGTCACATTGTGTGCTGCACGAGAAGTTGTGCCAGGTCGCAACGATATATACTTCTACGAAGCATCTTAACACCAGAGCGAGCATTATATGGTTTTACGAAGAGTCTTAAGAAACAAATTATACTAAAACCTTTTCTACCTAGCATCTTCGTATCCTGAAAGCTCATGTTATCGGAAATTTCATTATCTCCAAGTACAAATACTCATTGTAGTTTAGTGGCGATGCTGTGTCTTTGTTTATGTTTTTCCCGCTGGCAAGCTTTAGTTCTTAGCCACCTGTAGTATGTATCACATTTAAAATACTTTACTTATACATGTTGTTATACAATTTAAGGTTTCTCACGACATTTATTGTTGTTTAAAACTGTTATTTTTATAGATACTGTACAATTACTACTTTAGAACATTAACAATGTGTCAAAATTTTTACTATAAAATATTTTACGGGAAACGCTTTCGTAACCAGAATTTTCGCCTATCCGGCACTATCCAGGTCCAGCAGATGTCGGATAATAAAGCTTTTAACGTATAAAATTATTCGCATGCGTTGGATCTGAGTGAACTGTTGTTGATGGACGATTGTGTTAATAAATAAACCAATATACATCACAGGAAGTACAACGTTATTAAAATGGACATTGGTTTGCTTACACGAACGAAGTTCGAGACTGTTCATCCAATTAATAAAAATGTGAACTATAAAAGTGAGTAAGGAAGAGACGATTGAGAAAGTATATAAAATGTTCAAAAAGGACTGAGAAATTTATGTGATAGATACATTTCTTAAGCTATTTAATATCAGTATTATTGAAAACACTATTATTGAAACAGCTGCACTCAATGATATTCACAATGCCAATCCTGTATCTTATGAAACTGGTATAATGAACAATGAAGTACTTAACAAGAACTATGCTGAGAAGTGACGTCTTTATTACTCACATCCTCAGCACCAATGATGTAAAAAGCTTTAACTGGAAGAGCATGACATTTGGGTCAAAATATAAGTGATTATAATTTATATAAGGTGAATCTTTGAAGAATCAAAGAAGGCTTCTAGTGAGAACAGTATATAATAGCATTTTAACTACACTTTATTTGTAGTATGCTTCCTCTCGAGTAGACATTTAGCTTTATACCCGAGGTACCAAACGGCTGAGTTACAACTTCATATCTACATCCTGAAGTTTACTGTCTTATAAGCGACTGGTATAAATAGCTATTTATACTTTATCTAATATAAATTTCGAATCAACGAGCTGAGAAGGAATTGCAGCTACTATTTCATGAGTTTTTTATATTTAGATGTTAGTCTGATGCTACTTTTAAGTTAACTCGTCTTGTCCTCTTTTTTATATAATAGATAAAGTGTGTTACGTGTTCTTTTTTTATGTTGTGATAATAGGCTTACTATTATCCTTACACAATTATAGCTATAAAGGTCAGTCTTCAAAATTACTTAAAAATAAAGTATGTAAAACTTTAGAGAGCGAGATAAGGTACTGAACAAGTGTCTTTCTTTAAACATTATAATGCATTGATATTTTTTCAAGTAAGATTACTAACCTGGCTAACTGTTGAGGTTGTTATGTGCACTGATCTGCGTCAGTGACAAACGCATGGAATGAAAACCTCATATTGGCGTTAAAAAGGGGATTTTAACAGTGATTTTCTACCTTCTCCACTTTTAAAGCCAATGTTGTGACACATCATTTCTTTCTTAATCTTAAGCCTAGTTTAATCATTCTCCGATGTTATTCGTATAATGTAGCACTTATACAGGTATATATATATATATATATAGGGCATTGGAAATAATTATGGAGACTGTGAAAAAAATGAGTATTAATTATAAATCTAATGAGATCCTGTCTTGTATGAACATGAAATTTCCAGAGCATAGTCACGTGTTAATAGTTTACATTGTGATTATCTGTCATCCAATCGAACAGATAATACAACAGAAGCATAATGCCTATTAAAGTACAGGTAATTATAATATTCCCAGTAGTAGTGTAGTGAATACACTCACGATTCCTAAGAGAAAAACGTAACAAGAAAAATGTGTAGACATCAAAGTTTTGTTTAGTGAAGATTGAGGCGGAATATATGGAAACTCTGAAGGGTGTACTTGAAACTAGTGCTATTAATAATATAAGCTGTCAAGGTAGTAACCATAATCTCCTCAAAAGTGACTTAGGTTATTCAGAGTGAGCTCTCTACTTAATACAGACAACATAGTTAAGATCTTGCCAATGATCTAGTTGTAAGTTCATGTGTGAATGTTACTTTCAGAGTAGTAAGATACACAATAACATCAAATGGCCACAGTGGATTAGTAGCTGCTCAAAAACCACTGTTAAAGAGAGATGAACTAACAGAAAGCTGAAATGGGTATCATACTTCAAACAATGGTATGAGTAAAGATTGAGGAGGGCGGTTTTACAGGTTAAGTTAAATTCAGTGTTTTAATAACGATTTTTCTATAATTCAGCTACGCAGATTTCGAAAATAGTGTTACTTTTTTTCTATCACGTAAGGATTTTTTACAAATCGAGAAGAAAGAAAGAAACTTTTACTTAGATCAAACTATTATTCGTTTACCACAATGAAATTTTTTTAATTATTATTATGTTTTTGTAACAAAAATGTTGTTTGTTTGTTTGAAGTTAAGCACAAAGCTACACGATGGGCTATCTGTGCTCTGCCCACCACGGGTATCGAAACCCGGTTTCTAGTGTTGTGAGTCCGAAGACATAACACTGTGCCACTGGGAGGCAGTAACAAAAATACAAATAAACTGAAGAAAAGGGAAGAACATTGATATCAAACCAATATGTATCCTCATTCATCATAACTTTTTTGTGAAATATATGTATTTTAGCCTCAAAACTACGTGATGTGATATTTCTTTTATGTATTGCGTTTGGAACACCTCGTTTCAATGACCAACGGTAATCAGCCATCACGCTAATGTTTCACCTTTCCTTATAACTCCTCTCCATTTCCTTGATGTCTTTATGAAACCTTTCCCCTTGTTCTTCGCTAACGGCACCGAAATTTTCAGGGAAATGGTCAATATGTGAGTATAAGAAACGAACTTTCGAGGTCATATTACAACCTAACTCTTTGTATTTATCGATCATGTTATTTACAATATTTTCGTAATTTGGGTCCTCGTTGTCAATAAAATCTTTAAAAGCAATCCACGCTTTTGAACTACTCATTTGGAGTCAATTTCCTAATATGAAGTCCAATCAAAATCCCTTCTTTAAGTTTTGCTTCTGAAAGAGCTGGTGATTGCCCACATATATACTTGAAAAAGTCGCCATCTTTGTCTAAGGCCTTTACGAACTGCTTCCCCACACCCAGTGTTATGTGAAGTGGAGATAATAGGACTTTCATTGTGTCAACCAAACTTTCACGTTCATTGTTTTTCCATCCTGGTATCAGGCTGACTCTGCGTGGCCATTGCTTTTTTATCCAGCGCTGATTTCGTGCTCTGCTGTCTCATTCACACAAAAATATGGAAACATGATATAACCGGACTGTTGACCCAACAACAAGGACTTTTAAGTCTCCCCATAGTAGCCAACCATGTTCTTTGTATTTGACCTTATTAAGAAGAAGTTCGAGATTTTCGTACGTTTACTTCAAGTGAACTGAATGAGCAATAGGAACAGATGCATATATCTTACCATTGTAGAGGATAACACCTTTTAGACTTCTTTTGGAAGAACCAATGAACAATCGTCACTCACTTGGTTCATAGACTGCAGCTCCTACCATTGGAGTTAATTCCGTAGTAGTGTTACAATAAACCAGTGAACCTTCTTGCGAAAAGTATGGTATAACCTCTTTCTCACGATTTCTGTACCAGTAAAATGATGTCCCTAGAGAAAGTAAGTTCTTAGCCCGAAGTCTGGACGCTAAAATCTCTGAAGAATCCCTTGAAAGGCCCAAATTTCTTACCAAATCATTAAATTTATCTTGTGTGAAAAGTTGTGGTTCACAAGACGTTTCAGGTTGAACACAATCCCTATCACCATTTCTATTGACATCAGATTCAGAATAAGATGAAACTGTATCAAGAGTCTCCAGTGTAGTAGGTACAGGTACATCAGGTCCATGAACAACAAGTCTTGGGGCATATTGAAGGTTCGGATAAGAAATTTTCTTTTTATTTCGTGTGTTGTAGCCTTGTACGTTACATGAGCAAAAATAGCAGTCATCTGCGTGGTTTCTAGGCTCACTCCAGACCATTGGTATTCCAAAAGGCAAATACTTTTTCCTACCTTCGACACAAATGGTGCAAACTTTGTGCGGAGCTTATGATTTGTCTTGGTCCCCAACTTTTATTCCGAAATACGCGTAATACGCTTGTTTGACAAATTCTGTAATGTTTTGCCTTTATTTCTTTATAACAAATTTACCACAAATAGAACAGGATATGTTTGGGTCGTGTACACAACCTCTTGTTGCCATAGCGACAAATAGATAATACTGAAAAGAAA